CAGGATTTGTGGGCTATATGGTCTCTACCATAACTCCTCAAGTCTGCTGTTATTGCAGGAAGTAGCAATAGGCAATATAGAAATGAGTAGATATGGCCGAGTTCCAATAAAACTTTATTTGTAACATAGATAGCAGGCCAGATTTGACCTATGAGCTGTAGTTGGCTAACACTTTTTTATGAATACTGGGCACATTAGCATATTGAATATGCAAATGTGTCTGTATATGTAAGTGGAGTATATACACATATATTAGTATGCAAAATCTCCATTTGCCCAACCCCCTGGTCATGGCAGTTTCTTGGGCACGTGACCAGTGCAGTCACACGTGCTGTTTCAAAGGGCGCTCAGACTTGCAGTTTAACACTCTGTGGTCAATGTCTTGAAATTATCAGCAATTTTATCTTAGAATTGTGGGTTTTTTTGTCTTTGTTTTCCGAAACAGAGTTTGACTCTTGTTGCCAGGCTGGAGTGCAATGGCACGATCTCGGCTCACCGCAACCTCTGCCTCCAGGTTCAAGCGATTCTCCTGCCTCCCCCTCCTGAGTAGCTGGGATTACAGGCATGCCCCATCATGCCCAGCTAATTTTTTTTTTTTTTTTTTTTTTTTGTATTTTTAGTAGAGACAAGGTTTCTCCATGTTGGTCAGGCTGGTCTCAAACTCCCGACCTCGGGTGAGCCGCCCACCTCGGCCTCCCAAAGTGCTGGGATTACAGGTGTGAGCCACTGCCCCCCTAGAACTGTGTTTTGTAGGTGTACTCTGATGGAACAATGGAGACTGAACTCCTATATCTGGTCTCATCTTTCCACTGCCTCAGTGCAGCCCTAGGCAGCTCTCAAAATATACTCCTCTCTAGCTTCCTTTATCCCGCCCTGCCCTGCTGCTGGGGTGGGGTCCTCCACCCAGGGTGGGACCAGGGCATGTCACTGGGGGAGGTGTGTGTTCTGCTGTGTCTTTTGCCCCTGGCAGAATCCTGAATGTGTGTTTAGAGAGGACTGAGTCACGTGTGCCCATCCCTGGCATCTTAGAGCCGGACAGGGAGGTAAGAATTCCCGCCCCAAGCTGGCAGTACCACAGCACACTCAGTGGATTCTGTGCAGAGCCTCTTACCCATCTCTGATGCAGACAGCAAATGTGTTGCAGTATGGAGACTGCAGTCTCTCAGGGGTCACCTGTCTGACTTCCTTGCGGGGGCGGGGGGGGGAGAATGACCCCCTGCTCTATGCTGGGACATAGTGTAGATCCTGTGGCTAGAGGAAAGAAGAACCCAGAAGCTGACAGGCCACATGTGCACAGCCCGTCATGGGCACCTGTGGGGTCTGCACTCCCCCATAACTATCATCCCTATGCTGAAGAAGCCTAACATCAAATAGCAAATAAAAAGAGGCATGTCCAGCCTGGGTTGGTGAGGGAGGAGGGGCAAGGACAGACAGACTGAAGAAGAAAGGAAAATATTTTATATTTTAGTTCTTTTTACTATCACTTCTTTCCTGCTTTCTGAACAAAAGGGTCCTGTATTTTCACTTTGCACTGGGTCCTAATCAAAGGTTAGGGGCTATAAAGAATCATTTTCTGAGATTCATTTACCAAAAGGGAAGTTGACAAAAAACTCTATGTATGCATCACTGATTTCAGGTCAGCTCATCCGTGCAACGTTAGCGCTTCCTGCAACATTTCCAAATCTTAAATACAAGGCTCTGAAATTAATGATGAATTTGGGGTTTCAGATGCTAGGAAGCTCCTTTTGGGACGTGATTATCAGGAATGCTGCGTGGTAGCCATTTCCTTCAAATAGTTTGCTGTAGGATTAATTTATGCCTCTTTAGAATGATAATGAGCCATTTTATAAAAATAAAGCACAAAATATTATGTACAAAATGTAACAGACAACAACAAAGAAAGATGAAATTTTACTAAGAGTTCTGTTTATTTCCTATTAAAAAGGGTAACACCAGATCATTCTAACACACAAAAACATACTTGTTTTCCTAATTTGAATAAACCAACTGTAAAAGAAACATTTTTGAGACAAAGAAATGTGAATATAGGCTGGGTGTTATTTGATATTAAAGAAGTATTGTTAAGATTGGTAGGTATGATAATGACATAGTATGTAAAAATATCCTTCATAGATCCACATGGGTATTTATGAGTACAATAACATAAGGTCTGAGATCCATTTAAAATACTTCTGCAAAAGAAGAAAAAGAGGTAGAGGAAGAAGACAGAAACAAAGAGGAAGAAGATGAAGACGAGAAGGTGGAACAGAAAAAACACGACAAAGAAGATGAAGGTGATGATGAGGACAGAAGTGGAGAGAAAAAAAGTAAGATAGATGGAATAGGATTGTGGAAGAGGATTGGAAAAATGATGAGTGTAGGTGATGGAAATGTGAGGACCCATTACAATATTCCCTGTACCCTCATATATGCTTTTAAATTCCCCTGATCGAGTGTGTGTATAACCATTGCCTAAAAAATTTTCTAATAAAAATCACAGTGCATATTTCACATTCTCCTTCATACCAAATGCCTTTTTTTTTCTGGTGCAAGAAGCATCCTCTGAGGCTGACAGGAATTATCTAAGCTGAAGAGATACAAAGGAGTTGATGGGAAGGATAATCCGCCCATCGGTTCCTGACACAATATAACGAAGAAAAGAAGAAAGTGGGTGGAAGAGGCTGCCATTGTTACTCTCCTAACCTTTCCTTCTAATTATGCCAGAGCCAAGGCTCAGGTCACAAGGAAAATTATTTTGGTGGTCAACCATTTGCCCTATTTTGTATACATCAAAAAGGCTCTTGTTCTCACACATTCCAATCTCACAGTTTCCCACCTACTTAAAAAATGTATCAAGTGGTCAGATGAACTAAAACATGAATAAAATGACTATATTATGAAGAACACCTTGTTTGCAAACCTACAGATAGCCTGCTTGTGATGCGGAATTGTAAGATGCACAACACTTCAACATTTAATCTACTTTCTATTATTGTAGGCATTTCAGATAAATGCTCAACATGCCCCGCTTTTAAAAGTTAAATGTAAATTTCTCTCTTGAGTGCAGATGGTGGCCAAGCAAAGTAGTTCTTTGGTCTCACAGACAGAAGGTCAGGTCATGGCTGAAAGACCAAAGAACAATTGCTGCTTTGCTCCTCCAAATCATCCATGGAATGAGACACCACTACTTTCTTTTCTGAAACTGTCTGTTCAATACAAAATAGTTAAAAGAGGACCTATAAGATTTCCTCACATTCTGTCGGGAAAAAAACGGTAACAAGCACATCACATCACATCACATCACAAACATCTTGTAACTGTTCAGAGGTCTTATTCCTAAAGCTGTGACTCTCCTAAAAAGGCAGTCTCTATCTAAAAACAACCCACTAAATGTCATTATGAAAACTACTATTGTCAGAAAACTACTATTATCAGAAAATGTTTACAAATGAAAACTGCTCCTTGTAAATCCGGCAACTTTAGCCTCCATACCATCACGGATTAATTAAAATGAGATTTAATACTGCAAATACTTCTAATATTGCAAAAGCTTCTAAACAAGTTATTCCTTTACAAGTGATATTATACTCTTATTGTTCCTGATGGGTTTTTTTTCCTCTAGAAAATTATAATGGAATTTTAAATAACTGAGACTCTTTCCTGACGTATTTTTCCAGTTAGTCCAAAATATTATGCTGTCAAAATGCTCTCAAATAATACAAAAGACCAAAAGTATGCCAATATGATTCCTTTAAAAAAATTACAATATATTAGGAAAGAAAAGTTATCTGTGATAAACTCAGTAGACCTAGGCCTTCAGTCCCTGATAGAAAGCATTTTCCATTCCACTATCAGGCACGCCCCCAACTGGATGAAATAAAATGTTTCATTATTTGCACATGTTAATAATTAAAAGTCTTCTGAAAATTTAAAACCCATTACCACAACACCAAATATAGTGGTTCAAATGCAGAATTTTACTTTGGTTGCCAAGATTTTAATTTAGTACTAAGGATTTCAGTTATGACTTGAAAAGCTTTTTGTACTAATCTTCATTATCACTTTTGTTTTCAATACTTTTCCCAATTGTCTTTGCATCATTTGTTGTAAAGACTTCATTGGCTCAACAGGGAAAATATGTTGGAAAATATGATGAAAAACCTCGAACTAGAAACATATTTGAAAAAAATTTATTTGGAGCAACGTCCTTCTAAATTCTAAAACAATTATTTTAAACTATTGACCCTAAGAACCCAGTCTTATTATTTTCATTGAATAAACAACCTGCTTTCATTGAATGTAAAGAATGAAAACCTTCAAGGTCCTGTACTGTAACATAAAAATAGAAAATCAAAAGTCAGCCTATTAGAACTGCCTCTCTAAAAACTTTAACCATGTTGTCAACTAAAATTCGAGTATCTACTTCATCTCCATAAAGATATAACATAAAACATCTGTTCAAACTGAAATTAAAGTACGCAGCTTTTATCCACTAACATTTCTAATGTCACCGTATTTAGGCTTCATGAACAAACGTATTCATGGTTATCTCAGTTAAAACTGGTTTCACTCTGCCAACAATCAATTTGATTGACATATTTACATATCAACTCATCTCATCTTACGAATTTTAAACTTTTTCATTTAAAATTGGATTCAAGTTGGCATCTTTCAAGAACTTTATGTATGTATATTTTAGGTTCAAACTGTGCATTAGAACATTTCTTTTTACTTTTGTAAGTAATAGATACACATATCCAAATGTATATTTATGACCTGTCAGATTGGAATTGTGTATGCCTGCTGTTGTATTCTCACCATTTCATGTGAAAGGTGATAATTTTAGGCAACTATAAAAGAAATTCTCCTAACGGTATAAACTGGATCATCCCATTAGTTAGAAACAATACAAATAAATAACAGGAATAAAACAACATCAACTTGAGAAAGAATGTTACTCATATCTATAATTGCTGCAATTATGCTGTGTCCTCTCTTACCTGATCTTTAATTTCAAGATCCCTGTTAGTTTTTGCTCTGAACTCTCTGTGCTCCTTTTCTGCCTCATCCTTCTCCATGTTGGCTTTATTCAGCTGATAGCGCATTTCTCCACACACCTGTTAGATTGTAAAAACTGGATGATTACCTGCTGGAATCTTCCAGGCAATGCCTGCAATTAGATCCTTTGGTGCCCCCTAGAGGTCATATGGATAAAATACAACAAAACTTTTCTAAGAATGCCATTTTCTACTAGAATACTCAACGTAGACTGTTAAGATTCAGAAGCAACACCAGGGATTATTAATTCTAACAACTTGAAATTCTAGATAAATAAATGCATAACTAAGGAATTTAAGTAATGTGCCCAAGATTATTTTATATAACGGTTTCAATTGCATATTATCAACCAAAATGCACTATCACCTAACCCTTAAATAGGTAAAGTTAGCAGTTAAAATGTTAAGCTATGTTATTATTCATTCACATTGATACAGTTAAACATTCACTCTATATGACAAAGTTTTCTTTTAAAGATTTCATCAGTTATGCTCTGTAAAAGGAAACGTACACAGGAATTTTTGTCTGCTGATAGACATACTATTGATATTTAGGTCTGTAGTATCCAGTATTGACTGCAAGGCTTGCAGATGTCATCTTATCATACACAATGCCAGGTATTCAAGTTAAGGAAGATTTTCTGGCAAAAGCCATAGACTGGAACTAAGCAGACTATGCACTTACGACTGTAACATTCAATATAAAAGGAAATAATTGTAATATAGCATCAATAATGAACATACATAGTATCTTAAAAGTGTTGCGTATCATCCTCTATACTTAACACTAAGAACTTTGTTTTATTTATTTTTTCCAATCTAGGGCTGCTACAGACACGGAAATATATTTGAAAGGTGTTATTAGCAGATAAATCTAAACAGCAGATTATGGGCCTTTTGAGAGAACTGAGAACCTATGGAAAGTTCAGTGAATGTAGAAGTCAGCTAAGCTGGCTTCTAATTTACAAATATATGGCTCTTAATATATTATCTCATGGTTATGCTTTCTTGAAACTTTTCAAGTATTTGGTATTTCTCCAAAAATAACGATTTTGGAAACTTTAGAAATCAGTTTCATCATTACTGAGGTATCAGAACAGACTAAGGTATAAAACCTATATGCATTTAAGCTGGGCATAGTGGCGCATGCCTGTGGTCCCAGTTCCTCTGGAGGCTGAGGCGGAGGGATGGCTTGAGCCCAGGAGCTCAGGACTGCGATGTACTGTGCTAGTGTCTGTGAATAGCTACTGCACTTCAGCCTGCGCAATACAACAAGATCCTGTCTCCAAATAAACAAAACAGAACCTAAAAAGTAACTTTAAAAATAATCTACGTTTAAAAGCTATGGTGACAAGACAGAAGAAAAAGTCAACAGGCTTCTCTCCAGTGGCCCTCAGAAAGCTAGAACAATAACGAACTTATTAAAAATTCTGTTGAAAGTTCAAATGCCTTCAGTGTGCGAGAGTTTATTCTTCCCATTTCAAAAATTATAAATTTATAAAAACTATTCATTTTAAACCTAAATAAAAATTACAAATTCAGAGTGACAGGAAAAAAAATGAGAGGAGCCATATTTTATTTTCTTTCTCATTTGTTCACTATTACTATTTATTTCTATGAATAAAATGGAATAAAACCCTGAATTGATAATGTCAGAAGATAATGATTATACAACCATGATGTTTAAAACCCAACACCAATACAAACTTGTTAGGTAAAAACTGTTTAAGCATCAGGTTACATTTAAAATTATTTTATCCCTTCATTTTACTCCTACGGTTCCCTGCTTTACTACTTTCAGTTCAGCATTTGCTACGTTTATCCACAACACTGAAATTCTTTTTCAAATAAATTAGCACATTAAATTGAACCAGAACTACATTATCTCCACGTTGGAAGCAACTTCAAGGCGATTTAGTCTAATCACTCTTCTGATGCATACAAATGTCCTTTCAGCTAGTTCTTGAGACAGAGAACTCTCTCTCTGCTGTACCGACTTCAACAGAAAGCTGCCTCTCTATTAACAACTGAAAACTGTCTCATCATAGCTTTCACCTATAAATCTAGGTTAAGCATTCCCATCCTTCTGAACTAATTCCTTCACTTCCACCCTATCTCCACACAAAAATTTGAGCTTCTTACACTTGTACATTAGCTAATAGGAATTTTAAAAAGCAAATGGAGAATTACAGAAACTCAAGAAAAAGGGGAAAATGGCTCCCTTTCCTAATATATGTTAAAATTAATTTTAATTACTGAATTACAGAGCAACAATGGCATTACAAATATGTCAAAATTTTGGAAAATACATTGAGGAATAAAAGGCAACATGGAAGGAGTATTTTAAGCAAATTATCTATATATTTAGTGGTAAAAAATAAATTGATTTTATTAGTTTCTTTGTTTTAAAGCAATTAACTATTGAAATCTAGATGGACTACTAGTATTTCTTACAATATGTATCTTAATCATTGCCAGTAAAGACCATTAAACATTTTAGTTCTTGATTCACGAACCAGTGACGCCCATAGCACAGACAATGTAGTCTTTTCAAGTATAAATTTAAGCACCAATACAATAAGATCATGTAGTATTAGAATCTTTATTTTAATGACCAAGTCTGAAAAGGAGTAGGAAGTGGAAGATTTTTTATGTCAAGCACACCTTTTAAGTTGTAAATATATGTCTTTGGCAATTATTGTAAACACCAACCCTATGCTATCTATGGTAAAAACAAGGCACTGCTAATTAATTTAGAAAAATGAGATTTATCAAATATTCAATAATTGAAGTAATATAACTCTTATTTATTTGTAAGTCTGTCTCCGCCACTCAACCCTTAAGCTCTTCAAGGCCGTGACGTGTGTCTAATTCATCCTTGTACATGCAATACCCATTAAGGGGCTGCATATAGTAACTGAATGTTTGCTGAGTAACTGTTAGGTGGCCTTTTATTATTCTTGAAATCACAAAACTTTTCTACTCCAAACTTCCTCCTGATAACAGTAAGAGTTTTGTACATTAGGAAAACATTTTTCAAAGAAAATATTTCCTTAAGTAACGATTACACTAAAATCTCTTTCTGTACCTTTGTGACATCCATTTCCCGAGAAGCAAGCTGGCTTTGAATTTCCTCTAGTTGATTAATAGCTGAAATCTTTTCCTTTGTGACCTTTTCCACCTGGGCCTCCAGTTGGGCAATATTCTGAGACAAGATCAACATCTGTAAGGGAAAATAAAAGTCCTAAACAATAATGTCATTTGACAAAACAAATACCAAAACTTTCTTGAATTAATAGCATCTCAGCATAGTCACTGGGCTCTGTGAGCCATTTCTCTGTGGATTGGGTATGTTCATTTTTCTCCTTCCTCTATTCACCTATGCCCAGTGAACTGAAATATGTACTTCTCTCCTATTCATCCCCCTGATCTCTAACCTTAGTTTGAAAAATATGTAACAAGGTGATAAAATCAAGGTGTTGGTTGAAACCCTAAGGTGACAGATATCAAACACCCAATTAAGTTATGAAACAGCGCGCCACAGATACATTCGGAGGAGATACAGAGGCAGACAACTCTTAAACCCTTCTTCCACATGGAGGGTATAAAAGGACAGATGGGGAGAGTCAGGGAGGAAGTTCTTTACAGAGAGCAACTGGTCTGCTGTGGGTCCCACTACCCTTCCCCCAAAACCAACAAAGACGAGGCTCTGTGCAGTGCCCTTTGTTGGTAAAATCCCAACCGACCCCCTATTATCTAGTTCTCCCTCATTTCTCCTAGAGGTTTCAGCTCAGCCATTATCTCCTCTCCTCTAGGAAGTCTTCCTTGACTCCAGTTCCCAGCACAAAATAGGTGACCCTTCCCATGTTCAGAGTTGATATTCAGCTAGTGTGCACTGGGACAGTCATGCCTGTTGTTTGTAGCCTGTGTCCACTCTCACTATTTCCCACACTGTAGAGATTAATATTTTGAATATCACTATGGCATGTGCTCCTACAATCTCAGTATATACACCTCCGTCACACCACGACCTCTGTGTACCTCGACCACAGTACTCATCCCACTGTTTTTAGTTGTCTGTTTCTTCATTAGAGTAGAAGTTCCTCAAGAGGTACCGAATATTTGATGAATGAATAAATAATTAGAATAAATGGCTTTCCAATGGACTCTATGGATATTAGGTTCTCAGTTTTTCTTCTCAAGATTAGAAATGCTTTCTAGATCTTAGATTTATCTTTTATAGCTTTTGGTTTCCAATTACGTTTTGTTCTTATCCAGGAAGTCGCTCTTCTAGGCTCTTAATTTCTTACTGTACTGGTAGTTTTTAAAATGTAGAAGCAGCAAAATATATAGGAATATCTATCAATTTTTATCTGTTAAAACAAGAACTGGTCCCACATTTTAAATAATGATGTTTGAAATTTACCATTGTATGCTGACATGGGTGTGAATTCAGTTTTATAACTTAAATCAATTACTAAAATTCTACGATAAAAATAAAAATCAACATTGAACCAAAGTTGTAGTAAATTAAGACCCTTAGATCAATCAAACAAAGACAGGTGTCTGCCTTTGAACTACAGAACTAGCTAAAGTTTACCCTATGAAAATAATTTAGGCAGATATATTAATTAACTTTTCTGAAGGTAGTGGAGAATTGTATATTTGACTTATGGTTGTTTAGATGTCCCTATCATCAAAGGATTGTCTACAAATCTAATTTTCACATACAATTAGTTTTACTAATAACAAACTAAAAAAATACTCTTGAGCACATTACAATATAAACCTAAGGTTGAAAAGAAGTTAAATATAACAAATCAAAAATATCAATTTAATTTCTTAATTTAAAATTTTGAGTTCATGAGTACACATATCATGAATGTGTAATTTTAGCTTTTCTGGAACCATATGACAGCAACAAACTTCAATTACCAGCTACTAAAAATCATATTTTACTTATTTATGTGGACATATATAACTGACGGTAAACATCTTAACATTGTATGGTTTTTGAAGTAAATATACTTTTATTTTGCTAATTATAAATTCTAGTCCATTTCTCTTCTAAGGCATGTCACAAATCTCTCCCGTTCCTTAGGATTCCTCCCTCTGCCACCCGTCATTTCCTTACTTTGCCCACTACCTGTCTGCTACCTCCTGTCGCGCACTTTCTGAGGTCTCCCCTCCTGTTGTCACACCTTCTTTTTCCCCACGCCCACCATCTGGAAGTCAACATTACACGGCAGGAGCTTCTCCATCCACATCTGTTGCAGAGCCAGAAGTAACACAGACACAGCTGCAACACTGCTGGATGTCCAGGACGTTGACATCAGGTAAGTCCTTTAAACTTTGACAGGGGCAAGGAAGAGACAAGGACACCCAGGTTGGGAGAGGTTGATAGAAATTTCTGCAGAGCAGTCCCTAGTGTATTGAACATGGTATGAAGCTGTACTCCCTATGCGAGAGATAAGAATTAAGGATTTTAACAATGGATACTGTCAAGGAAAGCAATTGAGAAAATGTGTGGACCTCAGGGGGTGCTCAATAAATAAATGATCAATGACTGAATGAACTAACAAAGCTGAGTGCTCACTGCAACCAAGGACCATTAATGAAGATAACACACAAACTCACAGCAAGTACTGTTGATGGGGAATGATTCAAACCTGTCTAGGTAGAAGGCATCTGTTCTCCTACAGTTTCCCACACAAATGGAATTTTTTAAAAAAAGAAAAGTAAGGGAGGAATTAAAAAAAAAAAAACAGAAAGAAAATCTGTAAGTTTCACAAGTATTCCTACTGTTAGGAAAGCAGAGGTTCTTGTTCTAGCACTAACTTTAACTACCTAGCACTTACAATGTTATAATTAATTGGTTAGTCATTATGTTCTTGTGCCAGGCAGTGTGATATGCATTCTCTCTTTAAATCCCCTTAGAAAGGCCGGGCAGCGTGGCTCATGCTTGGAATCCTACAGCTTTTGGAGGTTGAGGCAGGAGGACTGCCAGGAATTCAAGACCAGCCTGGGCAACATAATGAGACCCCATTTCTACAATTATTTTTTAATTAGCCGGGCACGGTGGCACATGCCTGTAGTCTTAGCTACTCAGGAAGCTGAGGCAGGGGGATTGCTTGAGCCAAGTAGTAGGAAGATATGATGAGCTATGATCACACCACTGCATTCCAGCCTATGTGACACAGTGAGACCCTGTCTCTAATAAATAAATAAAAAATAAATCCCCTAGAGAAGGAATTATATCGAATTAATTTTATTTGAAAAAATGAGATTCAGAAAACTAAGTAACTTGCTCAAGTTCATTCAAACTAATAAGTAAAAGGTAAAGCTGGGCTTTATATAAAAGTCTGTCTGCTTTTACTAACATGAAGGGCCAAGAATTCTATCCAATAAGGCTCCTTCTCTCTTTCTCTAAAACAATAGCCACAAGCTAAAATTTATTAAATGCCCATGGTAAGTCAGACATTATATTAGATATTTTCTAAACATTATCTCACTTAATTCTATCAATTCTTGATATATTAACTTCATTTACTTCTCTGAAACTTAGAGAGGTTAAGTGAATTGTTCAAGGTCACAGAAAGGTCAAGCTGGATTCAACTCTAAATCCTTTTACTTCAAAACCATTTTCTGCCATTTCCTGATGAGAGTTGGAACCTCAGTGCTAGGACCACTGTCAGCTCTTTATTCACACATCTTTATTTAGAGCAGGATCTTGAGACAAATGTCAGGGCTTCCTAGGGACAAAAGCATCTTCAATGACTCTAGCTCAGAAATGTGTGGTATTGAATACAGACCTAGAAATAAAGTCACACACATACAACCATCTGATCTTCGACAAACTTGACAAAAATGTGCAATGGGGAAAGGATTCCCTAGTCAATAAATGGTGCTGGGATAGCTGGCTAGCCATATGCAGAAGAATGAAACTGGGCTCTTACCCTTCACCATATTCTGGTGTTTGCTAGGTTTGCTGTTTGCTGTTTGGTGTTTGCTGTTTGCTATTATACCATTCTCTCTTATACAACACTCAGTCCTACATGGGCCTTGGGAAAGAACTGATGACTAACTTCTCAAAAGCAATTGCAACAAAACCCACAAATTGACAAGTGGAACCTAATTACACTGAAGAGCTTCTGCACAGCAAAAGAAACTATCAACAGAGTAAACAGACAACCTACAGAACGGGAGAAAATAGTCACAAATTATGTATCACACAAAGGTCTAATATCCAGAATCCATAAAGAAAGTAAACAATTGGCCGGGCGTGGTGGCTCACGCCTGTCATCCCAGCACTTTGGGAGGCCGAGGCAGGTGGATCACGAGGTCAGGAGATCGAGACCATCCTGGCTAACACGGTGAAACCCCGTCTCTACCGAAAATACAAAAAATTAGCCGGGCGTGGTGGCGGGCGCCTATAGTCCCAGCTACTCGGGAGGCTGAGGCAGGAGAATGGTGTGAACCCGGGAGGTTGAGTTTGCAGTGAGCCGAGATCGCGCCACTGCACTCCAGCCTGGGTGACAGAGCAAGACTCCATCTCAAAAAAAAAAAAAAAAAAAAATAAACAATTGAACGAGCAGAAAACAACCCCATTAAAAAATGAACAAAAGACATGAACAGACACTTCTCAAAAGAAGACACACAAATGACCAACAAACATATGAAAAAGTGCTCAAGATCACTCATGAATGATATGGTTTCGACTTCTGCCCCAGCCCAAATCTCACATCACATTGTAGTCCCCATTGTTGGAGGGGGGGCCTGGAGGGAGGTGATTGAATCGTAGGGGTGGGTTTCCCCCTTGCTGTTCTCATGATAGTGAGTTCTTACAAGATGTGGCTGTTTAAAAGTGTGTAGCACCTCCCCTTGATCTCTCTTCCTCCTGCTCCAACCACAGAAGACATGCCTGCTTCCCTTCCACCATGACTGAAAGTTTCCTGAGGCCTCCCCAGCCATTCTTCCTGTTCAGCCTGCAGAACCATCAACCAATTAAACCTCTTTTCTTTATAAATCACCCAGTTTCAGGTATTTCTTTATAGCAGTGCAAGAACAGACTAATACACTAATCATCACAGAAATGCAAATCAAAACCACAATGAGATCCCATTTCACACCAGTCAGAATGGCTGTTATTCAAAAGTCAAAAAACAACAGACCATGGAGAAGCCACAGAGAAAAGGACACTTCTGCTCTGTTGGTGGAATATAC